CCAGCTACTCAGGAGGCTGAGGCAGGAGGATCACTTGAACCCGGGAGGCAGAGGTTGTAGTGAGCCGAGATGGTGCCACTGTACTCCAGCTTGGGTGACAGAGTGACACTCTGCTTTAAAAAAAAAAAAAAGGGAAAAGAAAAATGCTAATGATGCAATTAAAAATGGGGAGTTGGCAAAGATCTTTTGGATATGTTTCCAAAAGCACAGATAACAAAAGCAAAAATCCAGGAATGGGATTGCAAAACTGAAAAGCATCTGTTCAGGAAAGGAAACAATCTACAGAGTGAATAGATGACCTAGGAATGGGAGAAAATACTTGAAAATCACACATCTGATAAGGGGTTACAACTCAAAATATGTAAGGAACTTGAACAACCCGACAGCACAAAAACAAGTCAATTAAAAATGGGTGAAGGTGCTGAACAGACATTTCTCAAAAGAAGACATTCAAATGGCCAAAAGGTATATGAAAAGCTGCTCAGTGTCACAAATCATCAGAAAAATAAACAACAAAACCACAATGAACTATCACTTCACACTTCATGGGATTGCTATTAAAACAAAACAAAATCAATAGATAAATGTTGGTGAGATAATGAAGGAAAAAACATCCCTTTGTACACTGTTCGTGGCCAGGCAAATTGGTGTAGTCACTATGGAACACAGTACAAAGGTTCCTCAAAAAATTAAAACTAGAACTATCACACAATTCAGCAATCCCAGATGACAAAAATGGCCCAAGCAGGCCACCAGGGAAACCTGGGCCCAGCGTGCATCAATGCAGAGCATCAAGCACAGCATGACAGGTGTACAGTTGCCTATTCCTGTCCAGAGAGAACTGCATCCCTCACTCTGGAAAATGGGGAAATGCAGAGAAGCAGATGCAACTGAAGAAGCCAGTTGGAGCAACAAGGAGGGACAACCACAGCCTGGGAGGGCACCGTGCCAGAGACGCCTGGACCTCACGCTAGGCTCAGTGCCCGTTACACTCTTGGGACCCAGCGCTTTCCCTCTGCATCACTTGGCATACTTGAAATTATTTGTTGCTTAAAATAATGTCCTAGTGTTCACCTTTCCTAGGAGACCTAGGCAGATCCTGTGACACTACAGCTTCGGCACACAGTAGGTGCATCACAAACATCTGCTGGGTTCGCACACTCTTGCCTTCTCCAACCTTCTTGAGAAGTCTTCAGTGAAAAGGAATTGCTGATTGAGCAAGAATTAAACTTCTAGAGACTCCTGGATCCGCTGAAGTTTGAGACAAGGTAAGATTTGTTTACTGCCATATTCCTAGCTCATAGCACTTAATATGTAGTCAGTTAATAAATGTTTGTTGAATAAATGAGTCAAAGGAATCATATATCTTACTTAGCTATATATTTTCTGAGCAAAATGATAAATTTAGTAGTGTATTTCTGGTATAATTTTACTTTACATATTCAACAAACCTGACAATTCAACTAGGTGCCAGGCACACAGCTGCTGAAGAAAATGACGTATAAAATACAATTTCTGTCTACAGGAAAGCCACAGTCCAAAAAGTAGAAACATGTGAACAAATTATAAAAATCAGAGAGGTTTGTTGCTATTTTAAACAGCTCCAGTCAGAAAGTGTTAAAATAGAAAGTTCTAAACAGGAAATGTTCCAACACACCATCTAAGCATGAAGCAGAAGCCACCCGTAGTTGAGTTTGCTACCGCCAACCCCAACAGCAAGAATTCCAATCCTGCTGCTACAAAATAAGTGTCATTCTAATTTTATTACTGCTATGTAACCCAGTTTTAGACTCTTTGATTGCCACTTAATGTTCTAAAGAAGTATTAAAGAGAAAATATTATTATGGTGTTGAGCCCATTCACTGCAGCCATCTCAACATCACACCAATTATAAAGCCTATTATTTCAAAAGAAAACTTTTAGTTTAACTTATTTATCCAAATATCAGTGTTACATAAACATATTTGCCATCAGACTTTGGATTTATGGGTTAAATAGTATATAAATACGATTAGAACCTCAAAGTTTACACTTTTCTGGTTCTCTCAAATTTTTTTTTAAAATAGTATATGCCTTTCTAAACAATTGTTAGCATAGTTTTTAAACTGAACATTAAAATGTATATTTTCCAAAAACAAAATACAGCTCCCATTGGTAAATGGTGTTGTTGAGATACAACAGACAACTTCTCTTGGGAACCATTTAATCGGTCCTCAATTTTACACTCTGTCCAGAAATGTCAATGACTTTAAAATATAGAAGTATATTACACAACTGAACTTATACTTATTCGGTATTTTGCAATATTTAGTACTTGTTCTAGCTATCTCTTGCTGAATAGTAAGCCATTCCAAAACGTAAGGCATTATTTATTGTTTAATATGTGTTTATTGTTATTATTTGTTTAGTAATTTTAAATAACATTATTTCTCATGGTTCTGTGGGTTGACGGGCGCTATAAAAGTTCTCTTCTGCAGTTCTCTTTCTTGCAGTTGCAGTGGGTTGGCTGCTGCTGAAGTCACCTGAAAGCTCAACTAGGCTATTCTCTAATTCTGCCTTGGTCTTTCTGGGGACCAGCCCACATACTCAAGCTACAAAGGGGCTGCCAGCCACCAGTCAACTCATTAGTGTACAAAAATACACTTATTACTTTGGAAATTCCTAGGATTTTAAGAGTCTACATACCAGGAGACAGGACAAAAACCAAATATATATTTTGCAATATCACAACAATAAAAGTAAATTATTTTTTAAAAGGAGAAAGCAAACCAATTGAAATGGATAAATATATTTTTTATATTCTTAGAATGGAATTTTGTACAGCAGTGAAAACAAAAGAAATCAAAGTTATGCATCTACACGTAAATATCAAAAATAGAACTTTAATTAAAAGGAGGAAGCAAAATAAAAATACAGAAATAGCAGCCGAGCATGGTGGCTCATGACTGTAATCCTAGCTCTTTGGGAGGCTAAAGCAGGAGGATTGCTTGAGCGCAGGAATTCAAGACCAGACCGGGCAACATAGTGAAACTCCATCTCTACAAAAACAAAAAAGATAGCCAGGAGCAGGCTAATAGTCCCAGCTACTAGGGAGGCTAAGGCAGGGAGAATGAACCCAGGAGGCGGAGGTTGCGGTCAGCCACTGCACTCCAGCCTGGGCAACAGAGTGAGACTCCGTCTCAAAAAAATGAAAAAAAAGTACACAGGCAAGCCAGTATTACAATAAATCAATCATACCCTATTTCAACTAAGCCTTCATTTTTGCTCCCAAATCCACCTCTCTGTCTTCAGTCAGCTGTCAATCTCACTTTGCAAGATGAGTATGGAATGCCTTTGCCATTTTCTTTAAATCCTGACCTACACTCTGTATGTAGAGAACGCTCTCTCTACAGTTCTCTAAATAAGAACTATTGACCTTGTCACCAAAACACCGCGCCCGGCCTCACTTTATTATTTCATAGTGATCATCGCAAGTAGAAATAAATCAATCATTGCTTTACGATTTGTTACATTTTTCTCCTCCCTTCTGCATTGGAAGTTCTATTAAGGTAAAGTCTTGCTTGATCCTTTCTTTTATCTTTCTTTCTTTCTTTCTTTTTTTTATTCTTTGAGACGGAGTTTCATTCTTGTTGCCCAGGCTGGGGTACAATGGCATGATCTCGGCTCACCGCAACCTCCGCCTACTGGGTTCAAGTGATTCTCCTGCCTCAGCCTCCCTGGTAACTGGGATAACAGGAATGCACCACCACGCCCGGCTAATTTTATATTTTTAGTAGAGACGGGGTTTTTCCATGTTGGCCAGGCTGGTCTCGAACTCCTGACCTCAGATGATCCGCCCACCTCGGCCTCCCAAAGTGCTGGGATTACAGACGTGAGCCACCATGGCTGGCTTGCTTGGTCCTTTCTCTGTCATTGTGTTTCCAGGAAATTCAGACTGTGGCACAGGACATGGCATGAATCATGAGATTAAAAATATTTGTCGAATTAATGAATCGAACAGTGGGCAGGATTTGTAGAGATCTTCTAGACTGGCTGAATAAAATAAAATGTAAAAGTGATTTAGGAGACCGGGCACAGAGACTCATCCCTGTAATCCCAGCACTTTGGGAGGCAGAGGTGGATGGATCATGAGGTCAGGAGTTCAAGACCTGCCTGACCAACAGGGTGAAACCCCATCTCTACTAAAAATACAGAAATTAGCTGGGTATGGTGGTACATGCCTGTATTCCCAGCTACTCAGGAGGCTGAGGCAGGAGAATCGCTTGAACCTGGGAGGCGGAGGTTGCAGTGAGCAGAAGTCGCGCCATTGCACTCCAGCCTGGGCGACAGAGTGAGACTCTGTCTCAAGAAAAAAAAAAGTGATTTAAGCATTTTAGTGACAGCCTCTGACTCTCAGGACTCACAGTAGCACAGAATACTGAGGATCTTCCCCTCCCTCCCTCCCTCCCTTCTCACAATTTCATTAAACAAAAAAACACTAAAACATCTAAGGTCTTGTAGATGACCATTTGGCACTTCAAAAATCCTTACTTTTTTCTTGTCATTAGAAGACAATGTAGGTCAACAAACATTTTAAATGTCTTTTTTGTGAGTGTGATTTATTCTTTCTACTGCTATTTAATAAGCACCAATGGCACCCACCAGGTTTTAGGTCCACAAGGCCAGCCTACTGATAGTACTTAAAAGATGCAGGTCTTTCTGTATATAAGGTTATATAAACAAAAGAGAAATCTTATTGTAGAATGTGAAAGTAATGTGTGTGTAATCACCATCCACTGGAATTCAATCAGATTTTCCTAACAAGATGTTAGAAAGTGTCTAGGACAAAACTGACCTCAAAATGGTTTGGTGGAGGCAATTTATCTTCTGACCAGTTGCTGGCGAGGAACCCTCAAAAAACTGTTGTTTTGTGGCTTACGGAATTCAATGCAGTTCTGACAAGGAGCTTCAGGTTTAAAGGTCTGACTCTACCATTCGCTTAACCCCGAATTTAATCCACTGCATGTTCTGTGCAATTTTCCTCACCTAATAAAGGAACTTCCTTTTGCTCGTAGTCCATAGATACCACAGTTTCTTCTCATGACCTTTCTAACAGCTTCTTTGAAGTCTTTGTTCCTCAAGCTGTAGATAACTGGGTTCAGCAGTGGTGTGACCACAGTGTAGAAGACAGAAATGATCTTGTTGACTTCAGGCAACAGGTGGGGACTGGGGTGCACATACATAGAGATCATGGTCCCGTAGTAGATAGTGACAACAGCCAGGTGGGAGCCACATGTGGAAAATGTCTTTCTCCGGCCAGAGGTGGAAGGGATTCTCAATACGGAGGACACGATGAAAACATAGGACCCCAGTGTCAGAAAAAAACAAATGCACAGCACGGCAATTGACAGGATGAAGATGGTCACCTCGGTGATATAAATACTGGAACAGGAGAGCTGCATGAGTGGGGGGAGGTCACAGAAGAAATGGTTAATCTCATTGGGCCCACAGAAGTCCAACCTGGAAATCATCAGGGAAGGCAGAAAGCCTGTGCCGATCCCTGTCCACCAGGAGACCGCCACCAACCTGGTGCAGAGCTCACGATGCATGAGGAAAGGGTAGCGGAGCGGGCTGCAGATGGCCAGGTAACGGTCATAGGCCATCACAGCCAGGAGAAAGCACTCGGTAGCGCCGAGGAACACAAAGAAGTAGAGCTGTGCCATGCAGGCGGAGAAGGAGATGGCTTGGCCCCAGGAGAGCAGGTTGGCTAGGAGAAGGGGCACAGTGGTGGATGTGTACCAGACCTCCAGAAAGGAGAGATGCTGGAGGAACATGTACATAGGGGAGTGCAGTCGCTGGTCCTGGCTCACCACAGTAACGATGACGACATTCCCTGTAATGGTTAGGCAGTAGATGAGCAGGAAAATGACAAAGAGCAGGGTCTGCCATTCAAGAAGGTTCTGGAATCCTAACAGCTGAAAGTTAGTCACAGTGGAGGTATTTTGGGGCTCCATTGCCTGTGGGGGATGAGAAACATTTTGGAAAAGCACAGGATGCAAGGCACAAATGTATCACTATTGATGTTTGGCACTTCAGAGATTAATTTTTAAATAGTTTAGAGCTGTATACACAGCTCTTCAGAAGGATAAATGCATAATTCCGCATCTCTTTTCTAAGAACACATTTTGAAATCTTAAGCTGAATGTGAATGTTAGATCTTGTAAGGAGACTCAGCAAGTTTCATTTATCTAGGTTCTCTGAAATCGTGAAGTCTCCTATCCAAAGACAGGCAAAAGAGGACTCTGATTAGTAGATCTTCAGTGTTCTCACCATACAAAAAAGAAAAACTGAGGTGATGAATATGTTACTTGGATTGATTGTGATGATTATTTCACTATGAATACCTCTATCAGAACAAGGTTGTACACTTTAAATATATAGTATACAATAATATTTATCAACTACACCTCAATAAAGCTGGACAAAAACTCAAAAAACTGACAATAACAACAAAACTTTAAAAAAAAATTCCTGCACGGCTGGGCGCAGTGGCTCACGCCTGTAATTCCGGCACTTTGGAAGGCCGAGGCGGGCATATCACGAGGTCAAGAGTTCAAGAGCAGCCTAACCAACATAGTGAAACCCTGTCTCTACTAAAAATACAAAAATTAGGTGGGCGTAGTGGCACGTGCCTGTAACCCCAGCTACTTGGGAGGCTGGGGCAGGTGAATCATTTGAACCCGGGAGGTGGAGGTTGCAGTGAGCCGAGATCATGCCACTGCATTCCAGCCTGGGCAAAAGGGCAAGACTCCATCTCAAAAAAGAAAAAAAAAAAATCTTGCACATATGGAAGCAAATGCCTTTCCCTTCTCATATGTGGGCTTCTCATATGAAGCCAGACACAGCACGTCTCCTACGCCATCTTGGGAAAGTGTATATATTCTACCCTCAAACAATATTTATTGGTCCCTGCTCTGTGTGTGTGTGTGTGTGTGTGTGTGTGTGAAGGCCTGTGCTGAACTAATCTGTCTCACTCCTCTGGTGTCCTTTCTTGCCTTACCCGACACCATACTCACGCCCAACCACTATCATTGCATCCTCGTGTACACCTTCTTTTCTTTCATTTAATTCCCTATCTATAGTTCTGGATAAAGTAAACATCCACCTGCCATGCAGGAGCTTCTGTGAAGTTGAGGGAGTGAGACATAGCACAGAATAGAACCTCTGTAAAATGTACAACCAACACACTCAGTGTGCCCTTACTGCTGGAGAGCAATCATTCTCTATTTCCCTTATACACCAAAAATAAAATTCTAAACCCCACAACTGACCGAGCGGACTCCTCCTTTCCACCAACGGGATTTCAAAGAAACCTAAAAAATCTGGTTCAAGCCATGATGGGAAGAGGGGGTTGGACAAACCTCATCACACTCTCCTTTCTTCAGAATTCAGGCACAACTGAGCAGCAATAACATCAAAAAAGAGATTTTAAGGCTGATGAAACAGACTCTGTAGCAATAAGGTACCAGATTCGAACCTGACTCTAGTATAGCATCATGACAGACAGCCAACCCTGAAAGAAATGGAAATATTTTACCACAACATATATGTATTTGTCACATTTAAAACGGCCCTGCAAAGCTGTCTCTTGTGGGGGAAATCTACATTCTGCAGAGAACCCCTTTCCCTCTTCAGGCCTTTGGTCTGATCCTCAGGAGATGAGCTGAAAGTCTAGCAGCTTTTAAAAGTCTCAATAGAACATTTTTGCCATCTGCTGCTTCTCAGGCTGGCAACGTATGAGACCTCATCTACATTGTAAGAACCCTGGTTTCCCCAACCCCCTTATCTTAATCCAGATTCTCCTTCTATAGATTGCAGGTCTTTAGACAATAACTTAATTCTTTCAACCAGTTGCCAATCAGAAAGTCTTTGCATCCACGTATGACCTGTAACCTTCTCCCATTCTTGGAGTTGTTCTGCCTTTCCAGACCAAACCAATGCATAGCTCACATGTACGGATTGATGTCTTATGTCACCCTAAAATGGGTAAAGTCAAGCTGTAACACAACCACCTTAAACACATATTCTCAGGACCTCCTGGGACTGTCACAGATCATGGTCCTTAAATTTGGCTCAGAATAAACCTCTTCAAATATTTGTTACAGACTTTGGCTTTTTATCAATACCCGTATCTATTCACTCTTCCAATCTCTTAAGTGACTGTTTCACTTATGCTGCTCTCTTTTCAAAGGTCTAGCACATCCTTGTTGCTCTGTACCCTTAGTAAGATACTTATTTCACTGGAAAATCCTGAAATCCTTCAATGGAAATATCCACAAGCTCAGGCCACTAAATTCTGCCACTGACTCCCTTTTGTTCCTGTGCATTGACGCCTCACACTTCCTCTGAGTAAACTTTCTGCATCCGAGTCAAAGGCAAATCCTTCCACCTGGGCATCAGGTGCCATAACCTCCTACACACTGGAAAGGTATTGCAGGTGAAGGAGGCAAAACGATTCCTCTCCAAAAGACTTATTGCAGCACTATTCACAATAGCAAAGACTTGGAATCAACCCAAATGTCCATCAGTGACAGATTGGATTAAGAAAATGTGGCACATATACACCATGGAATACTATGCAGCCATCAAAAAGGATGAGTTTGTGTCCTTTGTAGGGACATGGATGCAGCTGGAAACCATCATTCTTAGCAAACTATCACAAGAACAGAAAACCAAACACCGCATGTTCTCACTCATAGGTGGGAACTGAACAATGAGATCACTTGGACTCAGGAAGGGGAACATCACACACCGGGGCCTATCATGGGGAGGGGGGAGGGGGGAGGGACTGCATTGGGAGTTATACCTGATGTAAATGACGAGTTGATGGGTGCAGCACAGCAACATGGCACAAGTATACATATGTAACAAACCTCCACGTTATGCACATGTACCCTACAACTTAAAGTATAATAATAATAAATAAATTAAAAAAAAAAAAAAAAAGACTCAGGAGTGTTGAGCTGAAGAAGATGAACACACAGGGGACCTGCCCCTCCCTCTGCTTTCCTGAAGGCAGGACCAAGATGTACAAAGACAAAGGACTTCCTGCCTCCCCTCTGCCTCTTCCCGCCTGAAGACAGTCTCCTTTATCATTCTTGCTTATCAGTTCAGACAGCAACACCAGGGATCTCGGAACAGACTACTCTTCCTGTAAATGTTCCTTCCCAAATGTCTTGCGTTTTGGAAGCCTGAAGATGCTGTTTTGTTTTTTCACTGTAGAGAAGGTATGGCTTTGCTAAGACACTATTTCAGCAAGGCCTCAAAGCCACTGCTCCCAAAGCGTTGCAGCAATCTAGGTGAGCCGTTTTCCTGAGAGAGCTGCTTTCTTTCTTGTGATGGGCGTGGCATGCAGAAATAATCACGCTTGGTTTTCTTTTGGTGATCTGTGTTTTGCTCATGAAAATCTGTCCCAGCAGTGAATTTATGAAAGTCGAGAAGAGAAATTCTTTTTTTCTCTCCTTCACGGGTATTCTCAGCTTCATGCCTGAATCAACCATGGTGCCCTTTCTGCCAAAGCATTTCCTCGACATGCCAATGGGCTGGATTGCTCTCCCCCACTTTAAAAAGACGAAACAGAACAGGTCTAGAGGCTTTGCTGTTCTCCGAATACTACCTGCACTTCTCTGCTCCCTTTTCCTACTGCTTTCCCTTCTGGAGGGCACTGCCCCTCCCCGCTGCTCCTCGTCCTCCGCCTCCTTGCTCACTGGAATGCACTATGATCTGGATGTTTCTCTTGCCACTGCCCCAGAACGGCATTGCCCTGCAGCCACCCATCGCATTCCCAATCCTCTTCATCTGTGGCATCATCGCACTGTTGATCCCTCCCTCTTCCTGGATCCACTAGTCACTTAATATCCACAGCTACATACTCTCTTAGATCAGCGACAGCCCTGGTTTTTCACACTTGTACAGGGCTTCATGTCTCTCAATCTACCTTCATTTCCTTCACAGTTTCAGGCAGTCTCTTGACTTGAATACTGTCACTTTGCTCTCAGCCCTCAAATTTATGTCTCGAGCTTGAACACAAGCCTCCTGTAAACAACTGCCCTATGTGAAATGCTCACTCATGTCTTGTCAGCATTTGCAATGTAACGAGACCTGACTTAGCTGACCAGCACTCCTGACTACCCCAGCCTCCCCCAGTGCAGCCTTCCTGTCTCCATCCTCCCACTTGCTCAGACCAGAAACTCTGAATTTGACTCTTGTTCCTTTCAAACCCAATGTCCAATTTTTCAGCAAAATTGACTAGCTCCACCTGAAAATGTAACCAGAACTGATCTGATCACCCTTCACGACCACCATCGCTTGCTCCCTGGAAAAGGCACCACTATCTCTCATCTAGATTGTTGCAATCATTTCCTTAAAGCACCTCCACGTCCAGCCTGCCCCACTCAAGAAAGCCGTCAAAGAGAACATTTTAAAACACGGGAGAGTTTTCACAGGGAACAGAGATGTACTGTGAATTGTTCCTGAAAAGGAAGAAAATATTGTGGCCAGACAATCCACATATTCACCTCTGCAGTTTCCACTTTGTCAGAATCGACGTTCTGTTGACTTGCTGTTTCTGTTCTTCATGTCTGTTGTAGTTCACTATTTCTGCTGTGTTCTATGTTCTCCTCTCATCCTTGGCCAACGTTACTGGGAATATTATTTTCATGTAGCCAGGAAATAATTATATCAAGAGAAAATGATATCTTAACATTATTGCACATGCTACAAAGAGTATAATACTGAATGTGTCATATATATTGAACTATATAGTACTTGATTTCTTCAATAAAGCTTAAGAAACAAAAACAACAAACAAACAAACAAAAACAAAGCCTTGACAGGTTACCCAGCCCTGCTTGTTCTCTCCTCCCACAGGCTCACCAAACTCTTAGTCTACTTTCTTCTTGGTCCGTTCCTCACCCAGCGCTCCCGCCTCCTTAGTATTCTTCAAGTTACCTGA